TTTTATTTTGCATTACATATTTGGATAAAGAAAAGTTAAGCAAATTCTACATCGATTTGATGTTGATAGAAATCTGGATCAATTTGTGATCAACTCGGTTCGTTTTGTTTCCTAATTAAGTGAGAAAATTTTAATTGACAGCACCGACAAATGAATATATACACAAACAAATTTTCGGTTATGGTTAAAACAATTCAAGTTTTTGTATTGAATTTTTGGTTTAAAATTTATTTTTTCCTTTTCAGTAGGGTTTTTGCACATTATCTCCTGCGTGAGAATTAATCGTAATATATACGCATCTAAATAAGAGACTGGAACACGGCTGTTTGTCAAAAGCATACGATTTCGAACTCGCGTAAATGTACATTTGCTAAATGCTATAGCATGAACGCTCTTCGAAAACATATGTTCGAAAGTGCTAAATGTTGCATTTTTAATGCAGCAAAAACGCTGCATTAAGCGGTAACAGATTATACGATTTTCGCATGAGGTGATTTTCCAGGTAATTTTAGAGGCGATTAGTTGAATCAAAAGTTGGCTACCCCCCAACTTCATTGGAAGCGATTAGTTAAAAGTCCGTTCACGCCAGGAGATTGTTGCTTCCAACTAAAAGTTGCCTGTAAAATCGCCTTATGCGAACACCGCATTGTCTAATTAAAAGCGTAAGCAAACAACACTTGCCCTAATATTACGTTCATACGTAGTTATAGTCAAAATAAAGTCGACTCTTCAGTTAATAGAATATAATGTCAAAGAGCTGCTTTTCATTTCAGAGAGGACTTTATGCTCAAGAGCGATAGAATATAAGATTGCGCTGTTTGATGGGAAATTCGGGAGAGTAACGTGAATATGACGTCAAAGGAGATTTGGCGGCGGAGAGAGCTGAGAGAGATCTATCATTATGTATATGTTTTGCATGTGTATTTGTATATGTATGTTACACAGGCAATACACAAAATCTTCTATTACGTCATATTTCTGTCAAAGTTTTCAAGAGGGAGTTAGCGGTTCACAATCTGTATTTGTTTCACCATGTGCTTTATACTGTTTACTTATGGCCCTGTCAGAATGGGTACTTTTGTACGTTCCGCTCAAGGATGAAAATGACAGTTGAGTAGACTGCGTGTTTGCATAGAGAGCGTCGACGGACTCAACGCTACAACAACAACAACAACAACGGACTCAACGAACACTGGCCAACACTCATGATCCAACTACACAAGGTCTGACAAGATGAAGCAAAAGAAAAAAGCAATTTTTTGCCTGACGTTTGTAAATTCAGCGCCATGTTATTTTTTTTTAAATGCGGTAAATGCAAAAACAACTTTAAGTCAATAATAATAAATGTTCAACTTAAAAAAATAGCTCTTCATTTTAGCTACTCTTAACATTATTTAGCTTTTTTTCGCCGTTTCAGCTCCAAACGAAATATTTTTCTGGCAACACCATCGATAATTTTCGTAATTTTTGGAAAGACTATCGATACTATCGCGATAGTATCGTTATTATCAGACTATCAATCGTTTTGCAATTTCCCGAAAAACTATCGATACTATCGCGATATTATCATTAAAAAGGTATGGAACGATTTTAAAATAGTTTTATTCTTTATATATATGTAATTCCAATACATATGTATATATCTTTTCAGTACTTGAAAAAGGAACGTAAACGCCAAGGTTTGCAAACCTTGCCCAAGGAAAACAGGTTTTTACTGCACAATCTTTGCACCGTGCAAGGGCTTTATATTTTATTATAGGCCTGTATGCAGCTCTCAAGAAAAGCAAAAACTCCATATAAAATGACGTACAAGAAATGGCTAAGAAATTTTCTTGAGTCAAATTTCCTTAAGGCAGTACGCAGTTCTTAAGAAATTTACTACGCTTTCTACTACGGTTTTCTAAATTTTTTTGTGAAAAAAGAGCACAAGGCAACCCAGGTTTGCAACAGAAATATATGCCCGTTCCATTATTTCTTGAGGAAAGAGTGAGGCAACAGGCTGTGAGGTATCAAAAATGTCAAAATTCCTTGGACACACACGCGAAATAATGGCAATTTTTTCTTGACCGTTTTCTTGAGAGCTGCATACAGGGCTTTAAATAGGGATATTCTCTGAGTCTTGCAAAGCCCTTGCACGGTGCACAGATTGCACGGATTGCACGGTAAAAACCGGTTTTCGTATGGGACAGCTTTGCAAACTGTGCAATCCGTGCACCTTGCAAGGGATTTGCAAGACTCAGAGAATACCCCTAATGTAAAATATTTTGAATACTGTAAAAAAAAATATATAGCGAATACTTCTGCAAGTAACTGTATGTTTCTACATACGTATAAATAAAATTATTTATATGAGATTTACTTCATTACGATTTTTGTTTTGAACAAACAAGCGGCACTACCAACACCGAAACAACCGTTCCCACTACAGTCGGGTCTACGTAACCGGAACGACCCAGATTTATATCTGGCCAAGGACTGTCACTCCAGCAACACTCCCCAAAATGTCTTTGGGGAATTTGTATGCTGCTACAACAACAACCGTTCCCACGAAAGTCGGGTCTACGTAACCGGAACGACCCAGATTTATATCTGGCCAAGGACCGTCACTCCAGCAACACTGCCCAAAAAGTCTTTAGGGAATTTGTATGCTGCTACAACAACAACAACCAACACCGAAAAACGCCTAAAATTGCAAAAAAATATATTTTTCCAAAGCGAACAGCAAAGTAAGTATGGATGGATATCGATATTATCGATAGTACCATCGATAGTTTTGCACCTCTAATTTAATATGTCTTGATCAAAACAAAGTTGAAAAAAATATTAAAGGAGCATAAACTGAAGTATATTCGTAATTTATTTACTACGGAAGGAAATTACTAATTGTTTATCAAACTATTAACATTATGGGCAGAGAAAACAAACATAGTTAAATTTATAGTTTGCAATAATATGGATGAATTTCATTTCGCTCCACCAGCTGCTGCTGCTAATGGTGATCCAGCTATACAAACGCGCCACCTAATACTTCAAAACTACCTAAATTCCCTTCGTCATTTTCGCAATTTAGCAGAAAAGTCATTCCAAGTGCGACCTTTCTATTTCGATAATTACGTGCTATGGCAATATTTTATACAACGTAGCTCAATGGAATCGGAACGTGATTTGGATATTGGGAACTATTCTACATCATCATCTCTAGCCTTTCTTAAGCTAGAACTGCTAAATCAGATTCTTGATCGTCGTCGCCAAATTCTTTATTGGCTATTTTATCTTTTATTAGTTTCCTTCTGCGTTTTTGCTTATCGACATCGTAATGACTCACTATCCCCGGGAACATCACCATCGCAATCAACAGGAGACAGTGGGCATTCCTCTATCTATCCCAGCATGCGGATGTGGCGCCGAATCACTCTGCCTTTGATACAACGTTTCCCACGACTTACAGAATTATACGATGAGTCGTGCCTCATGCAGAATCCTTTCTTCCAAGGTATCGATTCTCTTAGTTGCGATCCTTGTTCAAGTGTGCAGAGTGTACTGGAATTGACAACAGTGGGTTCTGAAGATCCCAGCAATACTCATAATGAAAAAAATAAAAGTGATGATTTATCCGATGTGTCAAATGAGTTTGTGCCTTTTGTATTTAAGGTGTGTAAATATTCTTATCGTGGAAATTTTTTATACATATTTTAAAAATGAATCGATATATACTTTCTTATCTTATTTAGATAAAACAAGATCCTATTCAACTCGACGACTTCTACAATATTTACGTTAATAATCAAGAGATCTTCCTGCGTGATGCATATCGCGTACATTCGACTTATCGCGATGTTACCAACTTGGAAGAGCTTTTCAGCAAATTCAATCACTCTCAGCACAACGAAGAGTCCATACAGCCCTTAGAGGCGCATAACTTATGGCGCTGTAATCGCATGTTGCCAGCACGTCTACTGCGTAAACTTTTCGCCAGCCCAACCCTGCGTTTGTCCCGTACTGGTATTGCGTTAGAACGGTACATGGCCATCGATACGGCTCAAGCTCCGGGATACACTTTGCCTGACACGGAATGTGCAAATGTATATGTGCAACAAGCTCTTGGAACTCGCTATATATTTCTGCGTCCAACAAGTGAATGTCGACATCTCTGTCGAACTTTGTCATTGCGTTTACCACAATCATTCGTGCGTAAGTGTAGATCAAATTACTCAAATTAGGTTTTCACCTTTTTAGATTTATATGAACCAACTTATTTACAGTCAGCTACAACTGGTTATATTGGAAACCTATTTCTGCTCCGGATCCTGTAGCAGATACTTTCTCAATCACACTAATTGGGTCTTATTGTTAAGGACAAGTGTCATAATCGCTTAAATATATATTTACAATTAAAATTTAAGTTAGAAAGCCCAGTAAATATGATGAAAAGAAAAAAATCAATCGCACAGCATACCGTCCATCCGTTCATGGACGAAAGGGCATTACAGTTTGTAACTAATGAAAAAGCAAAGCTTATCTCATTTGACATTCGAGATAAATCAAATGTCTGCATAATCTAATTGCGCTATGTAACAAAGAAACTGTATTAGTAATTGCTTACCCAATTTTTGGAAAAAATATTACCAAATATTTGTGATAGCAACATCTTAGGGTTTATAAATAGGAAAGGGAATAAAAAATTAATATTCTGTCGGAACGAAGTCCAGGCTTTAAACTTTCATTCTAAGTATATACACTGCCGGAACAAAGTATTGGCACAGCAAACTTTTCGCAATAAATGCAACAATTTTCATTCTAATATTTTTCCGCTAATTTCGTATAAAAACATGGTTCATTCTACAACAAAAAACATAAAAATATTCCTAAACTTTGTGTAAAACTCGCGAAAATTCAGCAAAATTTCATGAAAATTTTCAACTTTAATCAGATTTTTAGAATTTTTTCGAATATGCTGATTTGTAGCCCAATCAATTTTATTATAATAAAGTGCAAGTTTTAAGTAGCTAGGAATTACCGTTGATTTTTGGCAGTTGTTTTTCACACAGTCCTTTCCATACAAAATTTTTTTTCGAAAATACTTTATATGGAAAAAATGTAAAACACCTTCAACAAAAAAAAAAATCTCAAACTTGACTAACTCCGAACGTGTATTTTTTTACTAGAATTTAATGGGCTGCAAAACTGCATACTGAAAAAATTCGGAAAAATCTGATTAAAAAGTTGAAAATTTTGATGAAAATTTGCTGAATTTTCGCGAGTTTTGCACAAAGTTTAGGAATTATATTTGTATGTTTTGTTGTTGAATGAACCATATTTTTATACAAAATTGGTGGAAAAATATTAGAATAAAAATTGTTGCATTGTTGCGAAAAATTTGCTGTGCCAATACTTTGTTCCGGCAGTGTTTGTATTTTTTCATGCAGCAATAATTGTTTCTTTCTTAACACATACATACATAAGTGTATTTACAACAGCATACGAATATACAAACAGCAAGGGACTTATCATTTTGGAATTAATAAACAATTTGTACATGCATACATCTCACCACTCTCAAAAATAAAGGTTGATAAATCCTTTGGTCGCGTAAATGTGTTCATTAAGATTAAAAAATATGCTCAATTAACCTTTAGAGAATTCAATTTAACCAGCGTGCCAAACATTATTTCTATGTAAATATAAGTACGTATGTAGCTGCATATATAAAATAAAAATATATGAGAAATTCGCCGAAAAAATTCTAGTCAATACTTCACTTGCATAAAGCTATTCCATATTAAACCTTCATTCGTTTGGATCTTAACTTTGCTGCTTTTTCATAGTTGCCGATAACTTTCAGAACTTTTGCATTTATACATATGTATTAATTTTATTCGATTTTATTATAACCTATTAATAGTACGCTATAAGATATTTTTTTCATAATAAAAAGAGTTCTGTTCTGAGTGGAAGATCGACCTATCCTGGCAGCTAGTTCGAAAACGTCCCACCTCAAAAAACTTTTCAAGAAAGCCCTATTTCAGAATTTTATTGAAAAACACCTTATCTCAGAATTCGGTTCAAAAACGCCCTTTCTCACTTCAAAATGTATTGAAATTTTGAATCGGCAGCTGAGATAGGGAGTTTTTGAAACGAATTCTGAAATAGGGCGTTCTTGAAAAGATTTTTGAGATAGGGCGTTTTCAAACTGGCTGCCGAGATAGGGCGATCTTCCACTCTGCAGTCGATACTAAATAGCATTGTTGTTTTTGATATTACCTAAATTACTGGTTCCCAAGAAATCCCGACTATAGTGTTCGACATGACTCCATAGATGTAAATACAACAGTCGTTATCGATATTCAAAAATTTTACTTTAGGTGTAGAGTATTATTTATGAAAAATTTAAAAATCTGAGGACAGAAATAAATTTATTTTATCAAAGTTTACGAATGGTGTCTAATTTTCTAACAAAGGACGGTATCAATGATGTTTATATTTATTAACAAAAATTTCAGTTAAATCATTCCAACTTTGGAATTCGATAACATTAAAATACAGATATCTGCATCGTTCCGGTCACGTAGACCCGACTGTGATGGGGTCGTCATTTCGTGAAATTTTTTAGTAAACAATTTTGCTTTAATGCAAGTCAAACTAGCGTCGGGTTACATAATTAAATTGCTTAATCTACATATGTATGTATATATCTGGGCTGATATTTTTACGGGTTAAATCCAAATCTGGTTCTATATGGCAACGCCAAGCGAAGAACAAGATTGCGTTTTATTTCGTGTTATCAAAAGGCAAGGCAAACAAAATAAAACAATCGATTAATTAATCATACGATTAATCACACCAAAAAAAATAATTGCAATTATTGACAAATAATCGATTAATCGAGTTTTTAAAGGCAATTTTTACAGATAGCCTGTACCCGTACTTCAGGATTTGCAGGTTTTCAGGAACAGCTGTTTTCGCCTACAATCAACCTTAGGTGAGACAGTGAGACGCGTGATTTTGAAGGTGTTTTTATTTAATGAATTGTGATTAATTGGTTAATATTAAAGTCGTAAAGAAAGTTATAACTAAACGAGTAAAGTGTAAAGTGAAGGGCAATACAAAAATATATTGGTGAAGTCGCTGCTTTAAGGAGAATAGTAGTGATAAATGTACGCTAATTTCCGAATTTTACAAAAAAGAGCATATTTCAAACCCAATTTGTAAATAAATTAGTGACCAAAAGTTACATAAGGGGGTGTTAAAATAATGCGTAGACCCTTGACTACAAATGTGAGGAATTTTTTTTGGATCGGGTCACCCCTTTGGACGGAATATCCCGAAATAGTTGGGAGCGCTACTAAACCCCACCTAAATATATATACATATATATTACTTCTGGTGAACAGGTAGCATGAATTTTATGAAATGTCAAATTTTAATAAAAGCCACAGTGTTGCCAACTTTCAGTTTTCAAAGAGCACCAACAACTTGGGAAAAAGGCGTTTTACCAAACTAAAAGCACCAAATTTTTTTTAATCAAAGGATGCTTTTTTTATAACAGTTTGTATTTAACAAAAGCAAAAAATTAACAATATTTACAAGAATACATATGTACATAAACACACAAAACGTTTTCGCTCATAACGATTGAATAGCCTCTATACATACTATGATGACTCATGCTTACGTCGTATTACCGAAGTACTATTAAAACTACTATATCTCGAGAAAGAAATATCGAATCGCAACACACGAAAATAATGCCCTAAGTAGAAATTACCAAAAAATTTGATGTTTTTATTATATAACCTCAAATATCGCAAAAACCCGTGATTTTGGCAATATGGGGGTAGGATATCTAAAAATTCTAGTACTAGAGCAATTGTGCGGCCAGATTTGGTTTCAGCACCAAGAAACGATGTGTTTTACTCAGGTGGTAAAAAAATCAAAATTTGAACAAACACTAGAAAAGAAAAAAAGAAATACTTAACTTACCTGCGTACTAGCATTTTCAACGCGACTAGAATTCAACAAGCTTTTTATCAATCATAGTTGAATTTAGTGCATGTAAATTTGTATATTATTGTAAATTCCGCATCTTCATGAGACACCGCAGTTATAATATTTCAGGTTTTAACTATCTCGGAGTAATATTAGTTAAAAAAAACACTAAAAAAGGCACTAGGCACTAAGTAATTTTTTTTGGCGTTTTGATTTTCAAAAAGCACTAAATCTAGTGTTTTAAGCACCAAGTTGGCAACTATGAAAAGCCAAATGGTTAACAACAACGAATGCCATTAAATGGAACTACCTTCTTTTTTGTATCATGGCTATAGGTTCTGTAATGGAAATCTCAGCATACAAAACTACGATACAATTAAATCGTGCATTGGACCGAAATTATCGATTAATTTAATCAAATGATAAATCGCTGCCATCCCTGATAATCAATTGTTTTTAATATAACATAAATTATTTTTACAAATCTTACCGTTGTTTAAGTTGAAATAAAATCGTAATGTCGATATTAACAAAAGATAATGCGAAGGATCACTGTCGCACTTGTTTAAAACGACTTCTAGCGAGCACGGAGAGTAGTTCCAGTATGTACATCAATGAGATACCAGATAACAAGGATTTGCACTTCAATATCTGCAGCGATGTGGAGTTGCAACAGCTCGTCTGTATGTATGTGGAAGATGACTGCAAGATTAAAGCGTCAAATTGGGTTATTCAAAATTATCCAGAAAATGTTTGTCTTGCTTGCTATAATAAACTTCACAACTTCGCCGTATTCCGTAAGCGAGCACAACAGAGTGCTGAAAAATTACGCACAGTACTTAATTGTAGCAGTGGCATAATAAAAGTTGAAATAAATTATGAAGAGGACGAATGTAAGCAGCAAAAATATGAGTCATTGGAACCGCCAGCTCTGTATGACAAGCTTCAGGTAAATTTATTGTAGACAGTTGAAGTATGAAAATAATAAAATTTGTAGTTCAAGGACGCCCTCATGGAAAACGAGGAAGTATTTTTTGAAACATCCGCCGCTAACTTGGCGGATGATGTAGAATTAACTAATGAAACAAAAGATCCATTTGGTCCATCAGCCCCATTGACATCCGAATGTACCGTGGAACAAAGTGAGGAGACCGAGAACTCAATAAAAAAAGAAGAGCGAAAAGCAGGCAAAAAAGAAAAAATCAAATGCTCACAGTGTAGCCAAAGTTACTCCATGAAATCTGAATTGGATGCCCATGTACGTCAAACACATAATGTAAAAAAATTTCCATTTTCGTGCGGTCATTGTGACAAGGCATACAGGTACATACGTAGTCTGCAAGAGCATATGAAACAAAAGCATCAAGCGGTGCTAAACGCACACGCTCAATTTAAGTGCGACTTGTGTCCAAAAGCGTTTCTAACAGATTTGTCACTGAAGAAGCATATGTGCTTCCATATTAAAGAAGATATGGCTCGTGTTTGTGGAATATGTAGCAAACGCTTTCCAATAAAAAATTTGCTTGTTGAACACTTGCGTACACATTCTAACGATGGCAGGATACCATGTGGTCAGTGTGATAAGAGTTTTATGTGGTATCAGGACTTATTGAACCATGAACGTTCATCACATCTGAAAGAAAAACCATATCCCTGCAAACTTTGCGATAAATCCTTTCAAACTCAAAAATCATTGCGCTTTCACAGTTACAGGCATTCCGGCGAGAAACCTTATCTCTGCGACGTGTGTGGAAAAGATTTTCGGCAGCCAACAGCTATGAAACAACATCGATTAAAACATTTCAAAGACGAGTTAAGGAAATCGGGTATTATCTAGAAGATGTCACATACTTGCATAATACATATATCGATGGTCCTCTGCAATAACGACACAATTCATATATTTCAGTAGAGCCAATTAAAGATATGTGTTTCGTAATTTAGCAATAATATGTTGTTAGTAATACTGCAAAACGTTCTATGTCACTTATTACCTCTGCTGCTTAATTGATCTGTTATCTGTATCTGATCGCTTCTGGCAACCCGTCATCTTCAGCCAAAGGTAGACAGTTTTGTCATTCGTTTATTAGGGCGTAACGATTTACAGATGCATACCGGTGCACGTAAAAGTCCATCTAAGTGTCGAGGGTACTAATAGACATAGATTGTTTTGCAGTATCACCAACGATGTATTGGAGCGTAATTATTCCGGAGTAATTGCAGTCACTCTGTAGGGAAAATTTTTAATTTTTCAAATTATGACTAAAGATTTAGTAAGAGTAGGACTGCAAAAATACGAAATATGTAACAACGCGTATAAAGTTAAACGAAAAAAATTCAATTTGTATTGCTGAACAACAGCACAAAACGAGAAGTGTCGTTATTTCCCATAAAAAAATACAAAATTTCCTACTGAAACTATGAAATGAACAACGGCACAATTCGAAAAGTGTCGTTATTTCACATAAAAGCATGACTAACCTAATAGAGAGTTTTTGACTTATGCCAATATTCACGATAAATCTGAGACATTGCCACTGTTCAGTAGTAAGGTTGGCTACTTCGGTTTTGTGACAAATGGCGAAACTGCGCCTCTGCCGGATAGCTAACAACTAAGCCTATGTCGATTTGCCACAGAAAAATATGGTTATTTATAAACCTAATCTGCTATATAACTCAAAAACATGAAATTTTGAGTTGTGCCGTTATTGTAGAAGACCATCGATATGTACTTGTATGTAATTTTGTATGAAATCTCAAAAAGTATTTTAATCATTAGTGAAAGAATTAAACCTTATTTTATATGTGTTTTACTTAGTTGACGTTATGCTGGCATTATTATATTAGATCTTATATTTTTTAGATCCATATTGCATAATGAGTTGGATTTAATAAAAGCTACAAACGATCAGAGGTTTAGCTATTATACCTACAATCTTTATGTGCATTTAAAATAAAACAAAAATTCTTAAATTCGTACTTTTTCAATCTAGAACGTTCACATAAGGTTTATTAAAGGCAAAAACACCTGTTCCTGTAAAACCTGGAAATCCTGGAGTACGGGAACAGGCTAATACGGCTTTCCTACGCCACCCCAATTACGTAGTTCGCTCTCTCATTCGTAATTCGCACTCCAATTACCCTTCGAATTACGTAATTCGCCATACAAAATTTTGAGAGCGAATTACCTCAGTTGTTGGCAATTCAGATCCAATTATCATACGAATTACGAACAAATCGGTGCCGTCTCTAATTTTTATCGGAAATTTTTATCAAAACTTGAACTCTGAGTACGAAAATTTAAGTTTATCAATGTGTATATCCCTAATTTAATACGGAAACTTATGCATTTTTACGAAGAGCCAATATTTTGCCGCGAAGAAAACCAAAAAAAAAACGCAGACAGAGAACTGTCAAATCGAATTAAGAATGTGGGCGTGGGAATGGGGTGTTTCGCGGTCGTAATTGGGGGAGCGAACAAAGTAATTCAGGATGTTGTGGAAAAATGGTATAATGGTGTACGGTTGGTCACCTTGGTCATCTGATGGTTGCCAGCTGGAATTCATTTTAAGAGCAAAGTGGCAACTTTTTCGTATCCGGTTCAGTTTAACAAGTATATTGCAGTTCAATTACGGGTAGTAGATGTTATATAAGGGGTCTTCATCTAAAGTGATATCGGGATAATTTGCTTAAATTTATAAGTTTATCCGCATTCTTTGATGAACGCACTATTGAAAATAATTGCATAAAACTTCGAGTTATACATACGCATTCCACAGGTAAGGTTTATAATTTATTTGATATACGCTGATAGTTTGAACTTTGCTCGAGTTTGTCTACAAGTTGCTTGTGGAACAAACCTAATATGCCGGAACTAGAGCGAGAAGCTGCCAACATCTACCCGACGAAATGAGAGAATGAATTTACCTTGTAATGTTTTTTATCATGGATTATATTAGCTCTGATCCAATACTTTTCGTGAAAAATCCTGTAAAACTGTCAACCAGCAAACCATTCTCTACACAACTCTCCAAAAGTCGCTCCTGCAACTTTCTGCAAGTTCGTGTAAAATCTGTAAGTTCATGGAGTACTGGATCAGAGCTAATAACACTTAATTCACCAGTATTTACGCAAAGCGGACAAGGATTCTATAATTGTATCTTATTTTAGAATAATAACGGGTAATCGGTTATTTCGGAATTTAGTTGTACCAAAAATGCAAATACTACATCAATAGAGGAAATACATATGTTTTCCTCCAATAAACAACTATCAAATCTTAAAATCGTTTAAAATGCAAATTAGCGAAAAATGTCGTTCTTAACTAGGGAAAACGTTACGCAGCATTGCCGTACTTGCTTGAAGAGCTTAAAAATAGATAATAACAATTTAATAACAAGTTTCGCTGCAGCTGAGGAGGCACCCGAGTTCAAAGACTTTTCGATAAGCATCGGTAATAATGAAGATATACAAAAACTTATCACTCTATACATGGACGGTATTTTGACTGGAGAAGCAGCTGAAAGTATGCTGGAAGATTACCCCCAGTGTGTGTGCATCAGCTGCTATAATAATTTACAAAACATTCATACATTTGGTCAAAAAATAAAGAGAAGTGCCCAAAAACTGCAGGCGCTTTTGTGGCAGGGAGTTGCGAAAGTTGAGATTGGCGAAGATGAAAATGAAAACCAACAGAAATACGAAAATGATGTTAGTTCTATGCAGGATGAACGAGATATATATAAGTTGCTGGTAAGTGTACATATATTTGAAGAAAATTTGGATCAACAAACTTTTATATTTGTTTAGCTTAAGGATGCTCTAATGGAAACGGAAACCGTTATTTTAGAAACACAAAATGCTGAAAGTATAGATAGCAAAGGTGTTGTAGATCCTGATCCCTTTGAAACCTCAATGCCGGTAAAACTGAAGGATATACAACGTGATTCCCAGCGTGAGGCAATGTATGAAGAAAGCAACGATCAAGAATGGGAAACCTATAGTCAAGTAGAATCGGAAATTAATTCAGATAAAGGAAATAGTAAAATGGCACCTAAAGATATTTCAAGTGATGCCCTGAACGACTTCCGAGGTGACGGTAATTTGAAAACCAGAGATCGTCGAGGAAGACTATCTGCGACATATGTGTCCAAGAAAATTAAAAAATTGCACAAATGTGTAAAAAAAGATATTGCAGTTTCTTATGACATTCAAGGACACCTGCATTCAGATGAGATAGATACCAAAATTGACAATAGAGTAAAAAAACGGAATAAAGGAACGAATAAACGTAACAAAGGAACAAAAAACAGCTTCAAATGTGTGCAGTGTAGTCATAGCTTTGCCCATAAGATTACACTCGATGCTCACGTACGCAAAGTTCACGAAGGAAGTAAGCGGCCATTTAAATGCGATCGATGCGAAAAATCGTATAGCTTTATCGGAGGACTTTATACGCACATAAAAGAAATTCACGAAGCTGAGGTTCGGTCATATGCTTGTGACAATCCTGGCTGTGGACGCATTTATACCAGTTTCATTGCAATGCAAAAGCACAAACGGCTGAAACACTCGGATACACCTTGCCTAAAACAATATGTGTGCGAACAGTGTGGTGCGACATTTAATCAATCTGGAAATCTTAAATACCATCGACGTTCTAAACATCCTACAGAGGCGGAACAAGCCGAGCAAGAGCATTTGAAGCAGCGATTTGAATGTGACGTCTGTAAAAAACTATTCCATTCACGATACACTTTAAAATACCACACTCTACAACTACATACAAATGAAATGAAGTATGAGTGCAATGTTTGTGGCCGCAGAATGGCAAAAAAGTTTATGCTTGTTCAACATATGCTAGTTCACTCAACCGACAAGATGCCGTGCGAGCATTGCGGCCGACAATTTATTAGAAAATTTGAGTTGGAAGCGCACGTAAGGGCAGTGCACATGAAATTGAAACCCTTTGAATGTCAGTATTGTCCGGAGTGCTTTGCTTCAAGAAAAACGCTCCGACATCACGAGTACATACATACCGGGGAAAAACCGTATGTGTGTGATGTCTGTGGTCAGGCGTACCGGCAACAGACATGCTTGAAAAACCATCGTAAATCACACGAAAAATTTAATGCAGATAACGTGTCAACAACAAACCACAATCTAACCCCTCTAAATTCGATTTTGACAGCGCCAGCGGCTGTTAAATCATCGAAAATAGTTTCACTGACAAAAGGCACTACCATCTCAACAAGTTTTAATAAAGACATAGCGGGAGATACGATTAAGCACTCAGTTAGTTTTGCTGGAACAAAAACTATCTAATACAATTTAGGCAATATAATGATAGATTCTTACATTTAGTGGCAACAGTTAAGGAGCTGGATATAATTGCTTTTGCTCTTATTAGATGACCAAAATAACCCCTTTTTTAAGAGAAGGCAATACGATTGCTCAATTGTAATCCTTCAATTATATACGATTACGATTACTTTAATTGTAATCATAAATGTTAACATTATGATTATAATAATCGTAGTCTTAAAAATTTAAAGACGAAGATTACTTTAAGGGTAATCATAAATAAAATTACGATTACGAACACTTTAGTTGTAATCCTGAAAATTATTATTATTATTAATACATACAGTTAATCAAAATCAAACATTATTTGAAGTACATACCGCGACCACGAGTAGAATATTTCAACTTCAAACAAATACGCGAATTCATAATTTAAAAGCAATACTTGCTCATAGTAAAACTAATTTCTCGATTATTGTAATCTTATTGCAGCCATTTTCACGAAAGCAATTTAGGTACAAAATGATATTGATTTTTTTTGAATTATATGGAAAATAAACAGAAAAAAGAATCATTTTACATTCAATAATTTATTGCATGATTGCGATTACTTTAATTGTAATCCTAAAAATTTGACGATTACGACTACTGTAATAGTAATCCTAATTTCTTAAAATTTTTAGGTTTACGATTACAGTAATTCACAATCAAGCATATCATAATTACAGTTACAGTAATCGTATTGCTAAGCAATCAATACGTAATCGTTATCATAATGTGCCCGGCTCTGCTTAAGTTACAAATATTCTAAACAATAAAGTTCATTTTTGGACTACCTAATATTTATGAATATTGCATCCATTTTTGTTTCTTATAATGATTACTTTTTATTAGATAGCAGTTTTTCATCCGCCGTTTGTGGTGGCTTATCGGTATTTACAGTATTTTGAGTAGTACTAGCAGCACTCTTTTCACGCTCTATGTAAACGTTTATATCATCTAGAGGTTTGTAGTACATATGAACCAATTGAGAGCCCGCCATCATAGACAACATAGCCGCCGAAAAGAATTTCATATATTGAACCCAAGAAACTCCAGCAGGCATTTTGCTTCTTTAACATACGTTGAGATATTTCGCTTTTGACCGGATTATAACTACACTGCTTCTTTAGCTGGCGCTTGCAATTTTCCTTCTACGAAATTTTTAGCTTGACGTTTTTTAAATGTGTTATCTGTAAGTTCAAAAATTAAATTTTGTATGTAAGTTAGCACAGTGTGCAATTATTGACTTACAAAAATTGGTTTCTCCCACCGTCCAGTTAATCATGGAAAATTCCAAAGCTGCACCGAGTATAAAAAACAATGGTAAGAATCTGTAGACACCAAAACGTTGTTTACCAGGCCACTTGTCCAAGATACGTCTAATGCTGCTACTGTAGAAAGGCATATCTGAAAGCAAAGGACGATTATGTAATGTTTTGAATTGAAATAGAATTGATTAGCAACATTGCCACAAAGTTCATTGCGTTTAAGAAGGGAAGAATCTTATTACTTTATCATTTCCTACATATATATGATGAATTTTGCACCTGGCTCGAAATAAAATGAAAAGTTTACAGCAAATCACGGAATTAAACTATACGACTAAACAAAAACAGCTGATTGTGAGGATTTCAACTTGCAGGTTGCCATACCAAATCTGGAAATGCTAGTTGTTTTGCGCGAACGAACAACGTCATTCGCGGTTAGATTTTTGCTGCGAACGAATGTTTTTTCATTCGGAGTGAAATAGATAAAAACAATCTCAATACTTTGATTATAAAAAATTTGTTGTACCTATTAGCTAAAAATTAATGCATTTATGTATTTGGTTTGTAATATCATTTATGCAATCATTTTTATTTTTCAGAAACTCACCATTGCAAACTAAAATTTATTAGCTTTCTCAAAACGGAGTGAGATGTTAACGCTGGTGCCGGCATAACCTTGTCCAATGAAGATTTATAAACAAACAAGCGGTATTGTTGGTTTATTTGCGAAATTCTTCACCCACCAGCATAAGCATATTTCACAATTGATACGGAAAAATGTCTATTATTGCGGAAAATAGTCTTCCTGCTGATGAAAGGAACATCGAAATAAAGGCACGAGTTGGAAGTGACAAGGAATTTGAACGTCGAGTACAAATGGCGCGCGAACTCACACAATCTACCGGGGAGGTGCTAGAGCAAAGAGACGTGTTTTTTAATATTTTGGACGACACTGATGGAGCTAGGTTTAAGTTACGTTACTTAGGACCACCTATACCATCACAGTTGATTTATTACGTTCGTCCAAATAAGGCTGGACCGAAACTTTCCACCTTCAATAAACTGGAAGTAGAAGATCCTGCACTGCTTGAAAAGATTTTAGCACGAAGTAATGGAATAAAAGGAATTTTGGAGAAAAAGAGATACTTATTTTTACATGGTCAAACTCGTATACATATGGATAAAGTTAAAAACTTGGGTAATTTTATGGAATTCGAAGTTTGCCTGCGTCCAGATCAGACAATAGAAGAGGGGCAACAAATAGCAAATGATTTGATGAAGGTATTCGGCATATCTGATCACGATCTTATGACTGGTGCATATTTTGATGAACTGAAATAATTGGAGACTTTGTTGGAAATGTTGATATGAAGGACATTCAATCCATACTTCATACATACCATCAA